TTAAATAATCGTTTTTTAAAGTTTTTAAAAATATATTAAAAGTAAATAATTTGTATCATATACCAGGAACTTTTTAACCATTAATCTTTTATAAATGTTAGGTCAGTATCTTTCTAACTACATTCATTGTTTAAAAAAATAAATAATAATAAATAATAATAATTATGTATACAGTTGAAGTCAGAATTATTAGCCCCCCTGAATTATTAGTGCCCCTGTTTATTTTTTTCCGCAATTGCTGTTTAATGGAGGGAAGATTGTTTCAGCACATTTCTAAGCATACTAGTTTTAAAAACTTATTTCTAACAACTGATTTATTTTATCTTTGCCATGATGACAGTAAATGATATTTTACTTGATATTTTTCAAGACACTTCTGTACAGCTTAAAGTGACTTTTAAAGGCTTAACTAGGTTAATAAGGTTAACTAGGCAGGTTAGGGTAATTAGGCAAGTTATTCTATAATGATGGTTTGTTCTGTAGAATATCGAAACAAAATTAGCTTAAAGGGGCTAATAATTTTGTCCCAAAAATAGTTTTTAAAAAATTATATATAGCGATATATATATACACACACACACACACACACACACACACACACACACACACACACACACACACACACACACACACACACACATATATATATATATATATACATACATACATACACATACACACACACACACACACATACATATACACACATACATACACACACACACACACACACACACACACACACACATATATATATATACATATATATATGATAAAAGTATTATAAGGTTAGTAATATAAGGTGACACAGTAACGTTTGATGCACTTACTATAATTACAATGAATTATGCACAGTTACATCTCACTAACCCTAAAGCTACCCACCACACTCTAACCACAACCATACAGTAAGTACATGTAATTAACAAATATTACTCATTTATTAAACTAATATCCTACCCTAAAATACAGTGTAACCAAAAAGTGTCTTGTTTGTCATTATGTTTGGTGATGTTTTAAAAGTTTTAAAACTATGATAAACTAAATGTATGCACACAACAGCCTGTCCAAGTCAGTGTCCACAGCAGTAAATACATAAACAATCTTATTGCAAGGAAAATAATTAAACCATTGTGGTGTTTTTAATTAAAAGTTTTATTCAGATGGATTGTTGGTGATTACATAGGTGTTGGCCAGATTTAGCTATACATGAACATAGGAAAATTAAGACCTGTTTAAAAATATTTAAGACCTAAAACACAAAATGACAGTAAATTGAAGCCTTTTTAAAGCTGTTTCTGAGATTTAAGACATTTTAAGACTGCGGACAACCTATACTACAAGATTAAATAATGTCTAGTAAAATATCATTTCCTGTCATCATGGCAAAGATAACAGTAATCAGTTACTGTGCAAGAAATTAGTTTTTAAATCTATTATTTTTAGAAATGTGTTGAAAAAAATCTCTATTAAAGAGAAATTGTGGAAAAAAATATATACAATAACTAAAATATAAAAGGCTAATAATTCAACTGTATGATCTGCTATATTTTGAAATTAGCCTTTTTTACTCAGACTGATCAAGTTAGAGACTCAGAACTCATTTGCTTCCTGAAAACAACAAGCCATTGGCTGCAAACAACTAAAATAAGTGCAAGACTCCAATCATATACAGACCACTGCAAAATCGCTCAATACACAATTTCTTTCTCTGATTTAACATTTCCTTTTAATCCTGTCCTTCAAATGTTTTCCTCGCATAGTCTCAGTTCAGAGACCCTGCCTTGAACCTCTCTGAAAGCACACCATTTTACAACAGGAGGGTGGGAGATGTTGAACAGAGCAGAGCAGATCCCACTCCCCCTCTCCACTGTCACATCCTGCACCAGTGCCAGACACTAGCAGAGGGAGGGATGGATGGGGATCCAGAGAAAGGTGCTGTATTCCTGTCACTGCTGAAATTCTCCCACAAAGGGAGCATAACAGGCAGAACATGAGTCCGAGGGGAATCGTGAAGGGAAAAAAGAAGCAGGTAGACAGAAATGGAGAATGATGGAAGGAATGAGAAAGAAAGACTGCAGCGATAAAAGAGGTGATGTGTGTGCGTTTGGCGGGGCAGCGGTGCAGGAATGCCCCATGGCTGCGCTATAAGGAATAAATCAACTGTGCAGCTATGTTTTGGTAAGATACATGCCAAACGTAATCTCTCTAGCCAAAGCTTGAAACCTGCATATAAGTTGTGTTTGAAAAGAAAACATTTGTTCTCCGTCACGTTGGCAGCCTCTCAGTTCCGACAGACAAAACTGTCTCTTTTTTAATATCCTCACAGGGGCTTAACAATTTCATTAAATCTTACAACCACTTTTTTTTCTTTTTTGAAATTGTAAATCAGGTCTGAAACGGAATACATCTGCATAAAGTGAAAGTGGCTTGTTTGTACAATATGTCAAGAATATTTAGCTATTGCTTCATTCAGCTGTAGCAGAACTCCTCAAGATCCCATGAAATGACTTGTGTTTTGATTTGCTTTTTTCTGTATCGATGCAATCAAGGGGATTTCATTATATACAGTCAGAATTATTCACCCCCCTTTGAATTTTGTTTCTTTTGTAAATATTTCCCAAATAATGTTTAACAGAGCAAGGAAATGTTCACAGTATATCTGATAATATCTTTGCTTCGGGAGAAAGTCTTATTTGTTTTATTTCAACTAGATTAAAAGCAGTTACTGTACTAATTTTTTAAACACCATTTTGAGGTCAAAAATTATTAGCCCCTTTAAGCTATATTTTTTTGATAGTCGACAGAACAAACCACTGTTGTACAATGATTTGCCTAATTACCCTAACCAGCCTAGTTAACCTTATTAATCCAGTTAAGCCTTTAAAAGTCACTTTAAGCTGTATAGAAGTGTGTTGAAAAAATATCTAGTCAAATATTATTTACTGTCATCATAGCAAAGATAAAATAAATCAGTTATTAGAGAAGAGTTATTAAAACTATTATGTTTAAAAATGTGTTGAAAAAATCTCTCCAATAAACAGAAATTCAGGGGGAAAAAAACAGGGGGGGCTTATAATTAAGGGGGCTGATAATTCTGACTTCAACTGTATATACTGTAAGTACATCCCTTACAAATCTTTTAAATTCATATTTTTAATAGGAAGCTACACAATATTATATTTGTGCATATACATTAGATTGGTCAGTACTGAAGCCAAATCTGGAGCTTGTCTAACAAAATAACTTACGATAATGGTCCAAAAACTAGTACACATATAATTTACACAGCTTTTGAGTTCAGTAAGTTAATTAGTATTTTTATTCACCGTGGATACTTTAAACTGACAATAAAGACTTCTTAAAGTAAAGAGGACTTGGTTACAAAATAATTCTACTTTAAATGAAACTCTTTTTAACTAATTTTTTTGAGCATTTTAGTATGATTTTTGAAGGATTGTGGAACATCGAGTGACGGATGCTGACAAACTGGCTTTATCATTAAAGGAATGAACTATATTTTATTATATTTTAAATGTGGAATAGTAGTGCTCATAACCAATAGTTTATGCCAGTGGTTCTCAAACCTTTTTAATTCAATACCACCTCAGAATAAAATTGTCCAAGTTTCACCATAATGACGAGGTCAAAATAGTTCCTACTATTAAGAATATTTATTATTGTCAGCCACTTTAAACATTGTAAATAGTTTGAACATTAACACTGTACTGTGCTTAAAGGTAAAAATAAAAGGTCAACGTTAAAAAAATGTGCCTTTAAAAGTTAATAAAAATGGCAAGCGACTGTTCTTAAAGTAAAAAGAAAACTGCTGTACTTAAATGTAAAGCATTAACAAATAGTAATCTATTCATCAAAACCTGGAAATGTTGCTTGGACCTCATAAAATAGGCTATATGTCATCATATTGATTTAAAACCATTTTTGATAAATTTTGAAATATGTTGCAGGTACACAACATATTTTTTACATCTTTGAAATCTAAACATTATCCTGTATATTAAAGTAAATAATTTGGAATTACATATTTAAATAAGAAATTAGATCTGCTTACTGCGCATCATTTAGAGTGCGTCAGAAAAGTGAGTGATTATATGCATAAATACACTGCTTGACCAGTTCATACATGATTTATCCATTCATATGTGTGGAATTTTCGTGATTTAAGATCTTATCTAAGCTTCATGCATGGCAGAGTTGCTTGAGTCTATGTTTTGTGTCCCATGACATTTGAATCATATCCAGATGAATTAGCCTAAATTTGAGATAACAAATTAATCGAAAGGCACGCTACTTTGCAAAACAAATAGCTTTATATATCAACAACATGCATTATTTTACACAACTTCGAACACACTTTAACACATTTGTGATAATTATTTTACCATCGATGCAGCATGGGGAAATTTCTGAGTAAGCAGTAACTGAAATGCCAACACAACAGCACTGGTCTGCAAAAGCGCTTCTCTAGCATGAATCATGCTTCGCAAGCACCCTAGCCGCACGTCTCTTTCTCTGGCTCGCTAACGCTGGTTGATTTTTAGCATTTGATGACGCAATGAACAAAAGTAAATATTTCAAGCACACCGATGTAATTGTACGCTTCAGGGAAAAGCCGGTGTTGATCACATCAGTGTAATCGCTCACATCAAGGGGTTAAAAGTATTACTTCGCTTACCACTAGAAGGAAGCCCGCAAACAGTTTGAGAACCACAGCTTTATGCCATAGCTGTTAACCATGATTTGCTAATTACTAGTCAGAAGAAAGTGTTACTATTCTCATTTTAGGTCGTTCTGATTTTAGAGATCATTTGTGAGAGTAATTACTAGTGTGTCTATTAATTCTATTCATTGGGTCTTTAACTATACTACAAACTTTTAAGAGTTTTATGAGTGTCATTGAATGCAGACTAGAAGTCATGTAGACTGACGGTGAGTGTGTGTGTGTGTGTGTGTGTGTTCAAGTATGAGATTGTGCTCACCTCAAACTCGGCATGCTTTTGGATGTCCTCTGCTCTCTGGCGGCTCAGAATGAACTCGGCCTCATTAGCTACACGCACCAGATGGTCCTTCATGGTGTGGCTCAGCAGCCTGCATATCAAAAACACATTGGAGATTATTAAGAGATAGACACATACCCAACGTTACATTATTCTGCCTAAATTATTTTCAATAATGAGAAAGCTTTTAACTGAATATACAACATAATTTCGGAAAACAAATTACACATTTATCAATTAGATGATACCTATTTTTATATTATAACAAAACTATAAATAGCTAAACTATAAACTATAAATAGCTAAACACTGCAACAAAATAAAGCATTTAAATATTCAGTATACAAACATATGCTAAAGATAACAAACATCCAATTTCAGATGAAATAAAAGGGCTGGGCGATAGGGAAAAAAAGCACGATACAATGTTTAATATCGTTCGTTATTGATAATTATTTAATAGCTCCTTTATGATCCATTTAGGAATATTAGCATTTTGTATTTAACAATTTTATTTTAATTTACCAACATTACTAAGGCAAATAGTTTTAATAGTCAAAAACAAAAAAAACAAAAAAATTAAGTCTCTTAATTAAATATTAATCAAACCAAATAATATAATAATAATAAAATAATAAATAAATAATAAAATGTTACAAAGTCTGTGCAATGATAAAGTGTAAACGCTTAACAATCAATGAAAACTTTAAGGTAGATCAACATCTGAAAGGGGTCTACAAAATAAGACAGTAAACTACAATCTCGATTAACAAAACAAATTATGATAATCAAATTTGAGCTTTGACGTAAAGGAATCAGCCATCATTATTTAAATCCATATCGAACATTACAAATTGTGAAGTTGAATGACTATATTACCCCCTATGCTTCTAGTCTTTTAGATGGGGTGCTAACGGCTGAGATGCACAAGAAAAGAAACCAAAAAGTCACTCTGACGACTTTTTTTTATTTATTTACAACCTCTTGACTGCTCCTTGTCATGACACTTACTTTTGCGTGTTGTTATTCTGACCTAAGGTGGCAAAACCCAACCAGAGTCCATTCTCATGTTGCATCTAAAAGCATGTAAAAAGCGTGATTGTGTGGATTCGGTTTGCTTGATCATTTTCAATGTGCTATGTGTTCGCGCTCCTCTGGCATCATTTATAACTAGGCAACCATCAATCATTTTCTCAAAGGATGACAAACAAACAAACCATTTCTACAGTTAGGATACTAGTTCATATTTATTAAGAGAATGAAAAAGCACTGCAGTGTTTGGGTGTTCTATGTTTGTCTGAGTCTGCCATTATTACAGAAATGTATATATTCCATATAAAGTGTGAAGCAGATTGGTTAGTTCAACTAGCATGAATTGCGATGAGCACGCGGAATTCTAAATGTTTTCAACTATGTGCACCTGGAAAATGCTAGTGCATCACTAAGCCGTGTGCCTTAATTAAAAATAACCCTAAGCTTATCGCCATTGCTTCCAAGGCATGTGCAACTACATTTTAATAAAGCTTCAGTGCTTCAAACCGAAAATTCATAACAAACTTAATCGTTATTAGGGATGCAACGATTCACAGCGAGTCGGTTGAAAATCGATTCAAATATGTGACGATTCAAACCAGTAGAAATGTTGAATGAATCACAATATACGTTTTGAACAGAGGGGGTGCTGTGGTTATCGCATTACATGCATATAACCGGCGAGCAAGAGGCAGGGCAGCAGAGTAAAATGACAGCAGTAAAGAGCACCAAACTGTGTACAAATACTGCAAAAAGATGTTTACATACACTAAAAGAAGAACAAATATAATGCATATAAACCATCAGCAAGGTGAAAAACTACTGTCACACATTTGTATTTTAATAGCGAAAGTGTGAAGATGGGTTTCAGACTGAAAGAGAAAGTTGTTCTGTTACAGAACAAGGTATTATTTTACCCTCTCCTTTTCAAATTAGTTTATGCATTTTTTAATAATTTGCTTATAATTATTGAATATTTAAAAAAAAAAAAAAAGATTACCTCTTTTTAAGTGTATCGCAATGGCACATATAATAATTAATTATAAAAGTAATCTTAATTATTCACCTTCATAATCATGTTCAACTCCTGTCTCTATTCTACTTTATAATTAGTAATTTTAAAATCTTTTTTTTTTTTTATGCCAGTGGCCAGAGGGCCTAATGACCACCTCTGTACACACTGCTCTCTGATTTAGTAAAGGCTTTCCTCTCCACACCAGCCATCTCAGTCCCCAGTGAAAGAGTTTTCTCATCAGTAAGCAACATTGTAAATGTGCAAAGATCTCAGCTCATACCAGAAAACAGAGATATCTTTTAAAAAAATGTAAAAATCACAGCACAGTCACTGTTTTAGTTCTTAAGAAAGTATTTTTTTTTTCTGGAATTAGTTTTTTTAAATTGCAATTTAGTTATGGCAGAAAATATATTTCGCAAGAAGTGCAGCATTTAAGAAAAAAATGAAACGGCTTTTCATCTTAAATTTGTTTTAAATAATTTTGTTCAAAATCGTGACTAAATCAAAAATCGTGAGATTAGTATCGTGAATCTAATCGAATCGTGAGTCAAGTGAATCGTTACATCCCTAACCTTTTTTGACAATGGTGTTTGGTCAATAAATATCGATATAATTTTATCGGCCCAGCCCTACATCACAAACATGCTATTAATAATAGTGATAAAAATCAGACAACACTGGACTTCCAACATGTGAGTGGAAACTGATCTATCCCATCAAAACTGAGAATATCTTACCCATTTCTCAACTGTTTCTCTGTGAAATCAATTTCACTGATTTAATAACACAGTTGTTAAGCCATGAAAGTGTCAACTGAATGCTAAACTAACTTAACCACGGCGTGTAAAAGAAGCAGAAAATCCTATATAGCACGGCATCTAAAAGCACCCCCGCTAAAACAACCAGCAATTGATTTGTAAACGATACACATCTAACAAGACACGCATGCAGAGGGTGCGGGGGTCAGTTTCACCCCAGCTCATGTTTCTACATATGTAAGAACAGCCATCCTTAGATAAACACACACAAACGCGCACACACATACACAAACGCAGCTTCTTATCACGGGGCATCTGATGATTACAGGGGCTGATGGGAGATCAGACGTATCCTGCTCTTACTGCTACTGTTTGTCAAGCCTCATTAAAGGCTGAAGCTGTTCTGTCCATCTCAGTGTCTTGTTTGTGAATCAGCAGTGCTTTATCTGTCCATGTTGCCCTGGTTTGGCACAGACGGGGGAGGAACCTGATCTCCAAACAGCATATTTACACCCCGGGCAGATTTGTGAACAACACAAGCCGTGGCCTAATAAAACATTGCCTCCAGGGACAGAGAGGAGTCTCTCAGCGGGTCAGGAGGCTCAGGCCTCTGCAAAGTGGAAGAATAACAGGCGGAGGGTGGAGGGCTGAAACTGGAGCCCGGTGTGTCAGCGGTGGGCAGCGGGGGAGCGGACGTGCCAGGGACTCGCAGTGACCCTCTCCCACCCCTCTCACCCTGACTGCCATCAATAACACAGGCCGCTCTCTGTGACTGCCCTTCAGTCTGGAGCCCTTTCGCTTTCCTGTTCTTCTCTATCTGTTTTTACTTATGTCATGATGGAAGTCTAAAGGAAAATATGATGATTGTACTATGGTAATAGGTAGGTGGTTGTGCTTTTTTAAATTATATTACTCTATAGACATTTGCAAATTCATCGCAAATTACCGTCTCCTAGGGCTGCTCAGTTATGGAAAAAAATCATAATTAAGATTACGATTATGCAATAGTTTAAAATTGTCATAATTACAATACAGTTATCAAAAATTATTTTAAAAGATGGACATACCAAAACATGTTTGAATGACTGATTTAAAGGCCCAATCCTAATTCTACCCCTGATCCCTTCCCCTTTCCCTTACCCCTACCTCTCGTTTTGCGCGTTTACATGAAGGAGTAGGGGTGTCCCAATTTTCTTTAGATGGAAGGCATAGGGCTAAGGGAAAGGACAAGATACTGCTAGAAAGAGAGATTTTTCAGGACCACAATCGAAAAGTAAGAAAATTTCCCAGAATACACAAGCTACGCTGCACCCGGTAGTCAGGAGATGCACAAATGAGTATTTCTTGTTAATATTATGAATTATTATAACAAACAATCATATGTTTTAATATATTCATAATGGTGTTCATGTTTTACCGAGAAGCTTTAAAAAATAATAATAATAAAATAAAAAATAAAAACCGCTAAATTCCGCTATCTGTAATCCCTAATAAAAACTCCTGTATAGTAGTCCTACAACATTTTGTCACTCGATGACACTCGAACACCCTGTCTGAAATTGCTGGGAATGAGCTTTTTACAGTGTCTGGTATAAGGCTAATTTGGTATAATGTGTTTTCTTGTGTTTACATAGATGAATATGACCACAGTGTAAATGCACAGTACAGACTACGAGCAAAAAGTTTACATAAGGGCTGCAAAATACTGGGAAAAAATTAGATATTGTTGCTGCCACATTATTAATTATGATATACCTAACTTTAAAAAACATTATTTTATCACCATTTTTATCAAATCATTTATGTATGATCCTACATCTTACACAATACAATCTTAAGTTATGATCCTACTCAAATAAACAGGCAACAGACCTTTTTTTGTTCTAATTAAATTTATGAAAACTTTATTATTATTTTTTTTTATTAGACTTTAAAACACCACAAATGACTGAAAAACTCAGTAAAGATTTTGATTCTTAACGATAACTTGGCTATTGTCATTTCCCTTTCTTGTCTCCCAGAATAACTATTTATCTTCAGCTCTAGGTTCACTTAACAGCATCAACTGGAGAGTATAGTAAATGCCCAACTGATTTGTCAGATTTGGATAAACAATCTATGCAGTGTTATTTTTGTTGTTGTTTTTTATTTACAATAAAAAAAGTTAAAGAAATATACATTTTACAATAACCTGAACAAATATTGCAATAAAAAAAATCTAATTATCAGATATTTTAAAGGACTTTAAGAGATGCACTGTGGCCATGTTGCACTCAATAATCTTTAGTGACCCTCCATCCTATAGTCCTTTTGTCTTCGTTTCTGTCTCTGCATGTTGGTTGAAATAAAACAGCAATTAAATCAACTTGACATTGAAAGCACTCTGTTTAATTCAGAATTGTTTTAAACTAACTGTAGGCAAGCATTATAATGTCAAACTGTATTCGATGTGTTCTTTTACCAACAGGTTTACACTAATTTTTCACTGACTGATGCTGGTCTGTAAGAAGTAGAGGTCTGCGCGAGACTGTTTGTTCCTGCCCACTCCTGTGAGGTTTTCTTCCACACCTGACCTTTCCCACTGTATATTCAGACTTTGTTCACCCACAGCCAGCTTAGAACAATTTTTTACCTGACCCGACCGTTCTCGCTAAATTTAAATCTGGTTTACAAAATGTTAAAGGGTAAAACTTTGAGGTATAATGAAATTGTGCAAAGGTTTTTTTTTTCCATTTGCATATATATGACGAATGAAAAAGACTCCCATACATCAGACCAACCGTTTTGTAATGCAAGCAATCCTCTTTGAAGTACAGCGCATCTTCAGTTTGCTTTATTTTGGTAAAGCCCACTCAGAGGACCGTTTTGCAGATGATGCGCACATGCAGAAAGGAGTGGTCACGTGTTCATCATGTGTAATAGTTGTGAGTACTGCCTGTACCGAAGCTCAATAAGAAAGAGGAAATCACAGATATGCTGTTCCGAAATAATGTCGAGACTCAGGAACGGGAAATTGTGAGAGCACCCGCTCCAGTTCAAATTGCACCAGAATTACCGACCCATACCACATTTTAATCGGAATGCAGACTTCTAATCAGAAGTTGTTTCAACCCTGACTCTACTTTGCAAAAGAAAAGCGTAGGTTTGTAACAGAGCTGTAAAAATGACCAGCAGTGAAGGTGAAGGAGCCTCAGTGCATCACTGCATTCATTAGCATTTCTGAAGCGCTCATCAGCACAGCAGCATTCATTAACATGAATTTCCATTGCTAACACTGAAATGAGAGCCATCTGAAAGATCTAAGGGCTTAAAATTGAAGACAGACCCTTCTATCCCAAAGGGAGTCTGAGTAAAAGAGTCCAACAGATGAGACATAAACCCATCTGAAAATGGCAAGATACGGGAAAGATTTCCCAAGAGGTGGGCAAGAAACTAAGGCTCTGCTGCCCTCTCAGAAACACATGGGAAGCCAAGTTATTGACAGACGCCTTGAACTCCAGGTCACCCTGTTGATCCCCTTTCCACATTACATTGATTTCCTCACAAACAGGATCTGTTCGTACACACGCGACGTGTTGTCGCAGGCTGGGAGATAATGAAGAGGCTGCTAACAAACGCTCTGAGGACGGGATTAGATAATTACCTGCCCTCGTTCACCAGCTCAATGAAGGCCAAACCTGCGTTCTTCTGGATGGAGTTCTGCCACTCCTGTCAAGAGAAATAAAAGACACTTTACACTCAGTTCACAGTTTTATACGAACAAACAACATTATCATTTCAATAACATTTTTGAATTTACCCAAACATTAGGTTTAGCATCATGTTATCAGGGCTTATTTTGTTTGTTTATCGTCTCACTTATTACTATAAAAAACATGAAACGGCAATTAAATGATCTGACAAGACAGAGAGTGGATTTTGATAAGAGAGACGGAGAATTAGTACAAGGTAAAAAAATAAAATAAATAAATGAATAAACAAAAAGGTTGTCAGTGAAAATATTTAAATATAGAGTTAAGTAGTAAGCATTGTATATCCGGGATTCTCAAGCGGTTGGCCACAGCGATCCTGCAAGTGGGCTGCGAGATCAAAAATAACTCTTAATATTATATTATCATTTTTGGATTGCCTTATAATACACTATATTAAAATGATCGAAGTAATGCACTTTCTTCTGTTCTCTGGTTGATTATCTCAAACTCGGTGCAAAAACAGCCTCATGATCGCGTCTGCAACTAGAACACGCAAGTCTGTTCATTTAAAAAAAAATGTGTGAAGTGAAAGTAAAAGTCTCTGTGTATTTTTGTGTGAACTATTTAATATATCTGCATAGTTGTCCAAATTAAATGTAAAATATATATTTGTTATTATAATATAATATAATATAATATAATATAATATAATATAATATAATATAATATAATATAATATAATATAATATAATATAATATAATATAATATAATATAATATAATATAATATAATAAAGGTGTAAATGAGCATTTCATACAAACATTTTAGAGAAAATGTCAGACAGGTGGGCCTTCAAAATTTGATTGGAGAAAGAAGTGGGCCCCGCAGTAAAAAAGGTTGAGAACCCTGGCTGTAGATTGACATGAAACACCATCTTTTAGAATTCGAAATTTGCTTAATTTAATTTTAATACATTCCACATTTCAGACTGTAATGTTTTAGACTAAAATAAAACTTGAGTATCTATCCACAAAGATTAAACAAACAAATACCAAAATTCCATGCCAAAAATCATACAATCTAGTCTAAACAAGCAGTAATTCAATGTATACTTTAAAATTGTTGATTTTTAAGATTTTTTTTTGCTAAAAGGTTAAAAACAAATAACGATACATTGTTGTACAAACATGTTTAAAAAGGGTTGTGAAATTGTTTACTCCAAGACCGATACCAATCCCGATTTAAAAAAAAAACAAACATCCAAAGCAAATATGTGACCAATACAATTTACAAACCCTTGTCATTAGGGTCATCACCATATGGTGTGATACACAACAAAGTTCTTTTTTATTCTTTGAATAGAATTAAAAAGTTGGAATAACTTTGCTGCAACACACTTATAACAAATATCCAAACACTCATGCTGCTGAGAGAGGGGTTTAGATGAATACGCTAGGCATCTGATTATAATGTAGTAACATAGATTCATTTGCACAATATGGCCCTTCACTGGAAGCAACATGAGCTAAATAAAATTGTTACGACTATTTGATTACAAAGCATATTCGAGACTGCAGACTAGATACTGTCGAAGGCAAAATCATTAGCCTTTTTTAAAATATTTTCCAAGTTATGTCTAACAAGACATTTTTATAATACTTCATATAATATTTAGTTTATTCTGTAGAAAGTCTTATTTCTTTTAGTTTGTCTGGAATAAAAAACATTTTAAACTATTTTTAAATCATTTTTAAGGTCAATACTATTCAAGTCTTATATCTGGCTATGTAGGACTTCCTTGCATGACATTACAGTACAGATTAGCTCTTTCTGACACACTGTCGAAACAGAAGCAAGTCTCTATCATTATCAAACTCCTTTGAGAGGAAGGGATCTCCGGGAGGCAAGACGGAAGCAAGTAAAATGGCCCTCTAACATGTTTATATGGTATCCTCAATGTCCAAGATTGCATTTAAGCAAGCACACCCCTCACAAACTTTAACAGGTCTCTCCCGGTTGTTGTAAAAGGTGTTAGTCTAAACAACTCCAGAAACCACAGCTTTCAGTGACGTTTAATAGCCTAGGAGCGAGAGCGAATCATTGACGTTTTTCACAGCTGCGCCAACCTTTCAACACTTCCCTGTGATCGTCTCAAGAATAATAATAACAACCAGGTCATGAGTATGTACAAAGTCGCTGGTGTATTCTCAAGGGCTCTTTTCACAGAGAGACTGCATCACGGAGGCTGAAGCGTAACGCTCCAACCCTAATGTCTCATTTGTTTCGGCCAACAGAGAGTGCTTCCAGGTTGAGGTGCAACACAAGCAATTTCATAATGATGATGATTTATATTTAATCCCCTGCCTGTTCTTAGGGTCGTAAATGAACAGGGCGAATAGATGTGCTTATTAAGAAGGAAATATTTTACCATCCTCTGGGAAATGAAGCAAAGTTAGACTAAAACCAAAGTAAACAAGCATTTAAATTCACAGCAAAAAAAAGGTTCATTGTGTTTATGAAAATTTGTTCATCACTATTAAAACGAAAATAACAAACTTTTCAAAATACATAAAAAATAGGACTAAAACTAGACATTTAACTGACTATAAGAAAGACTAACCCTAACCTAACAGTCTACTTAAAATCTAATAGGTATTGGTTTGCATGTAAATGCAATGAAACTTAATTTCAACAAACGGACCATCAAAATAAAGTTTGACCTCAAAAACTTCCACTTTGCAGCCCTTTTTCAGTTTTATGCATTTTCAGCCCCAAGACAGTTTCAAACAAACTTGGGATAGGACAGAGAGCATTTTACAACTCAAAAAATATATTAGTGCTGTCAAAATTAGTGTGTTACACATACGATTAATTTTCAATATTTAATGGGTTAAAAAAATTATTGAAGTTGCAGTTTTATTTTTTTATTTCCTGAAGTGGTAAATGTGTGTTCAATATGCAAAGAAATATGGATGAAATAATTCCAAGGAAGCACGTTTTAAAAGCAAGTTTTAGAATAAAACAATTAATGTTGCATCACCAGACTTTCCAGCGTTTCCTATAGAGTTTCATGCAATTTCGGGTGTTCCATTTTTAACTTTCGACTTCTGTTTAAATGGAATTTGATACCGCATGGCGAACGGAAAGAAAAACCTCAGCATTTCGTGACTCGGTGGTCCTTTATGATAATCAAAAAGCGCTGTTTACATGGTAGACTCTTAATAAGAGTATTATCTTAATCATATCAAAATCGGAGTATTGGTGTCCATGTAAATGTACTCAGAAAGTGCCAGATGAAGTCGCAAGCTGTCAAAGACAGCCTATTCCTCTGCCTTTCAGCATAAGCACTCCAATGTTTCATTAAGTTTGACCTGTTTCGACTTTTGTAAAGCTCCTGCTTCGTGTTGTTGTGTCAGAATCCTTATAAAAAATATAGCCATACTTTAGAACGCTTAGGATAAGCAAATTTGATGAACGCGATCATGCGTGTTGAATCTGAATGGAGTCGCTCTGGCTGCCCTGTCCTACACGCGTTCCACAGGACAGGGGTCCACATTTTCGATAATGTCAACAGACTGCAACTGGCTGAATGTAAAGGAGGACTAAGCAAAGTTGTTTCTACTTCATAATTAATGTTCTCAACTTAGAGCAATACAACTTTTAAATGAGTAAAATTGTTTGTATTCAATACTTTATTGTTATTATAATTTTCCATATCTGCAATGCCTGTATTTTGGCTTTTTATTTATTTATTTTTAATTTTTTTGCAGTTCACTTAGAATCCAACTTGGAAATTGTTACTTTATTGGCATTGATCGTTTTGAAATTCAAATGGCATTAACATGCCTGTGTTTCAATTTCTGTAATAAATATGGCTGTCAAGCCAGGATCTTGATGGTTTATTGTGGGTATGTTGGTTACATGAAGAAATCTGTGTTACAAGTTAAACAAAAATTCTAATAAACAAATATATGTTGAACTTAAAAAGTTTTTGTCTTGCGTTTACATTAATTTTACATTTGGATAGCCAAAATTACAAGTTTTTAGTCTTTTAAATGTGATTAATCACATTTGATTAAAAAAAAGTGTGATTAATTAGTTAATTTTTTTATCGATTGACAGCACTAATATATATATATATATATATATATATTCTAATTATTTAAAAAAATCTATAGTTATGCGATGGCACAGAGGTAGACCTCTTTCTTGACTTCACACTGAAACAGCTACGCATGCGGCAGGACATCACTTTATTGCAGAGACGCCTTTGGGAAAATGGCAGCAAAGAAAAACACAGAAGCAGCTTGAAGCGGAAGTGTGAGTATGTCTGCGGTCTGGATGTGTTATAAAGTTGATGACAACAACATTGCCATAGCAAACTGAGATAAGTAAACTTGGGATCTGCCAACCATTTTTTTTTTAGTTTGGGTGCTATTTGTTTTTATATTAGATTTTATATTTTCTCTAGCACTACAGTCCAAGGGTAAATAATTTATGTTATTTATTACTTGATTGTTCAAGCTACCTCACAGAAGTGCTCTGTATGCTAACAGCATTGTTGAATGTTAAAATAAGGTAAATTTAATTAAAATTAAGGAACATCCTGGATCTGTTACTTCTCTCTATTCTATTCTTATGTATTATAGAGGTGTAGGATCGGGTTTCGGTATCGGTTGACTCAAAATCTAATGACTCAGACTCGGACTTGAGGGCATAACAAACCTGATCAGGATATCCCTACTCAAAACTTTTACAAAAACTGGATATAAAACATAAAATTGCTTCATTTTTAAAATTCACATTTCACTTGTGTTTTCTTTAAAGCATTCAACAGCTAACGTTTAGCAGACGTCACTGTTGAGAAACACATATTCCAGGTTGTTGTTTTGTTAGGAGAAAATGCTTCTGCAGGGATCATCAAATAAAAGCAGATACATTTGTACTAAAAAGATAAATGAATGTTCGATGGGTGAGGCAAAGGCATTATTCTTTAATTAAAGGAAGCAATGACCC